CACGGCAAACAGTGCATAAAACGTTTATTCGTCGTTTGAACCGCTTTTAAGAGCCAAATGAATATGAATTGGTAGACATGCGAGCATTGTGTCGTCCATGCTGTGTAGCATTTGCAGTGATAGCGTTCGTCGAGTGTGGGCGGTGGGAACCATAATTCCGTCCGGTGTAAAGGTGGTTCAGGTTGTAAAAACTGAATACCATTTGGGACCTCTGTGAAGACACCGCCCTCCCAACGTGGGTCTGGATTGATTTATGCCTTTCCACTAGACGAAAATATGTTTTGATCCAGGTGAGTGTAATTCTTGTGATTTAGGGCTTTTTCGAGTTTGTGTTCCAGGCCGATTTTTGTCAGGGAGACGTCAAAAGACTGGAGGTGCAACGATGGCAAAACTGGTAAAGTTGACTCATGGTGAAAAAAAAGCAACGCAAGCAAGACTAAAACGCTGATTTAACACGCCTAACCAACGACTAGATCATTTCGCGCTAAGCTAATTTTCCACCAGCCGTGAAAAAGTGGCAAACAAATAAAACACACTATTTTTTCAATATCATTGAAATATCCAAATATATGTTCACAAGAAACGAATAAATATGGGAAATTAAATAAGCTGCTTTCACTTAAAAGTCTTTTAGGATGAGCAAACATCGACATAGGAAACCTTTTTTTCATTAAAACATTAATGACTAGAATAGAATAGAAATATACTTTATACAACAAAACTTTTTTAGATAATATGAAAATGAAAAGTAAAATAATAAAAGCATACATTTAGCGTAGTTTTCAAAATTGTCTGCCGGAAGTAAGCCCAGATTACCACAGAATTAGGCCAAAAACAATATAAAGGGTGTCCCGTTAACAGACGTCCCTACTTTAGGAGATTCCCTACATGCCAAATTAGACTAAGAATAAAGAATAAGACAAAACTAAAAGAATAACGGCAGCGGGCTCTACCACTTGAGAGTAAAGCAGTCTTGGGTTCGAATCCCGCATACATAAATTATTTGAAAAGAAGTTATTTGGTCAATCGGACCATGAACTCATATGGATTTAATAATTAAAATGAAGTGTGTCTTCGCTAAAGCTCTACGTGGCCATTTCATTTGTCGCCGAGAATCGAAGAAATTACACATTTGAAAAATGGCAGAGGAAGGAAAATTCGAAAGGTGGGTTGAGATGGGAAGTTGGTGTCCGAGTGGATCTAAGTCACGTTAGCTCAAGAGGTAGAGCAGCGCCGAATTTCGTGTGTTCGAATCCCGCTCGTGACACAGACCTTTTTTTATCTCAACCAATATCTCACATAAAGATAATTGAAAGGAAGTTATTTGGTCAATCGGACCATGAACTCTAATGGATTAAATATATAGTATTATACTTGTCCCGAGTGATATATCATAATAACATAATAGTTTAAATATTTCACCGGCTTAAAATTTATTTTGTTTAAGTTTTTTTGTAATATATGTAACACCTAGAATCTTAACAGGATGTACTTTTATTCTTCTTTTTTTAAATAAATGAACAGGCTTGAAATCTTCATGGGCTTTCTTTACAATTCGTCAAGTACCCCATAAGAAATGTAAAACCATAAATCTTTACAAGCGCCACTCTTCACATTGCTTTCCATAAAAAATGAATAACATTTAATCTTCACCTTTAGTACTTTTTTCCTAATGTTTTTGTAATAATATGCTTGAATTTTCATGACCTTCTTTACATGCTTTCAAGTATTTCTATAATAAATTAATAAATGTAAACTTCACTTCTAATTATAATGAAATAATAAATAATAGAATTTTCACATTCAGGTATTAGGTACTTACATAATAAATGACTTTTAGACCTTGAATCTATTTAATGACTTTTAATTTTGTTAAGTTTTTCGCAATAAACGATTAAGCTTGAATCTTCACGGGTTTACTTTATACTGTCTCAAGTTAAGTAGTAAAGTGAGAAATGTAAAATGTTGAATCTTCACAGTCTCAACTTTTTTTTCCATTAATTTTTGTAATACATCAATATATATGAACTTTCACGGGTTTTCTTTACATTGTCTCAGGGAAATTAAGTAGTAAAAAAGAAATGTAAAATCTTGAATCTTCTGAAGAATCATGAAGCTCGACTTATTTTTTCCATGAATTTTTGTAATACATGAATGTACATGAATCTTCACGGGTTCTCTTTACATTGTCTCGAGTAAATTAAGTAGCAAAGAAGAATGTAAAATCTTGAATCTTCACATGCTCAACTTATTTTTTCCATGAAATTTTGTAATACATGAATGTACATGAATCTTCACGAATTTTCTTTACATTGTCTCAAGTAAATTAAGTAGTAAAGTAAGAAATGTAAAATCTTGAATCTTCACAAGCTCAACTTATTTTTTCCATGAATTTTTGTAATACATGAATAGACATGAATCTTCACGACTTTTCTTTACATTGTCTCAGGTAATGCCGTAATAATGTAAATAAAACATTGTAACTTCACCACCTGGATTTTTATTCCATGTATTTTGTTAATAAATGAAATATTTAAGGATTGTTTCATGTATCACCATAAGAAATGAAAATCCGAGAAACTTCACAAGCTTTACTTTTTTTTCCATGAAGTGTTTGTAATAAATGAATAAGCTTGGATCTTCACGGGTTTCCTTACATGGCGTCAAGGTACTTCAGTAAGATATAAATAACTTTGTATTTCTAAAATCTGTACACTTTTTTTCGTATGTTTGTAATATATGAAAACGTTTGAAATCTTCACATTGTTTCAAGTATGCATTTTCATAAAAAATGAATAACAATCATAAATTTTCAGGAGTTGTACGTTTTTTGGAGGTTTTATGTTAAATGAATAAGGTTGAATTCTTTAAATGAAATATTTAAGAATTACTTTACATTGTTTCATGTATTTCCATAAAAAATGAAAATCCTTGAAAGTCACATAGCTTATTTTTATAAGCTATACTTATTTTTTCCATGAAGTATTTATAATAAATGAATAAGCTTGAATCTTCACGGGTTTCCTTTACATTGCCTCAAGATACTTCAGTAAGACAACTTTGTACATTGAAAATTGGTACACTTTTTTTTGGCCTTTTTGAAATATATGAAATTGTTTTAAATCTTTACATTGTTTGAAGACCGCATTTTCATTAATAACCTTCATTAATCTTCACGAGTTTTACTTTTCCTTTAGGGTTTTATATCTTCATATAGTCAAGTATGCATTTCCGTATATGAATAACCTTGAATCTTCACGAGCCTTTTTCTTTAGGTTTTTTTGTATTAAATGAATAAAGTTGAATTCTTCACTGTACCACTTCACAAAGTCCAGTATGCTTTTCCATGTATGAATAATCTTGAATCTTCACGAGCCTTTTTCTTTAGGTTTTTTTGTATTAAATGAATAAAGTTGAATTCTTCACTGTACCTCTTCACGAAATCAAGTACGCATTTCCATGTATGAATAACCGAATCTTCACGAGCCTTTTCTTTAGGTATTTTTGTTATAAATGAGTAAGGTTGAATTCTTCATAATGGTGAAGTGGTCTATTTGCCAAAAGTGTGTAGAGCCACAGATTATACACCTAGTTTCATACAGACCTATCGCTCTCTCATCGTCTATGCAGAAAACAATAAAGAAACTGATGGATATCCACATTAGGGGCACAGCACTGAAAATTAACCCATTGACTGCTAGGTAATATGCATATCAGACAGTGAGGTCCACGGACTTAACCCTGGATGACCTCTAAGCCATTAAATGACAAGGAAATAGCCTTGGCGTTGTTCATGGACGTTGAAGGGGCATTTAACAATGCTACGACAAAATCCCTGACCTATGCGCTAAGTAAAAAAAGGGATCTCAAAATCCATATGTCAATGGGTGGAAGAAAGTCTTAGGAAGAGAATAATTTTATCTGCCCTGGGCGACAATACAATAAGAACAACCAGAGGCTACCCTCAGGGCAAAAAGGAGAGAAAATTCGAAAAGGAGGTTGAGATGGGGAGTTGGTGTCCTAGTGGATCGAAGTCATGATATCTCAAGTGGTAAAACAGCGGCCTATTTAGCTGAAGGTCGTGGGTTCGAATCCCTCTCGTGACACAAACTTTTTCCTTTCAACCAATACCTTATATTATGATTAATTAATTGAAAAAAGTTATTTGGAATCGGACCACGAAATATAATGGATTTAATAAGTAATACGAAGTATATCTTCACTAACTGCTCTCCATGGCTACTTCATATGTCGCTGAGAATCAAATCCTGATTACATGACATTTGAACCTGGCAAAACTAGGGAAAAGATGTAGGGGTCGAGATGGGGAGTTGGTGTCCGAGGGGATCGAAGTCACGATAGCTCAAGTGGTTAGAGAGCGGTGTATTGACCCAAAGGTCGTGGGTTCGAATCCCGCTCGTGACACAAACGTTTTCCTTTCAACCAATACCTTACATTATGATTAATTAATTGAAAAAGTTATTTGGAATCCAACCACGAATTATAATGGGTACCTAATAATTATAAAAACAACTTGAATCTTCACTAGTTGTACTTTTTTGTCAAAAGTTATCGTTAGTTTAGAATAAATTTGAAACTTGAAGGATCTACTTTGCGTACCTGAATTTAAATAACATTGGAAACGCTTAAATGTAGTTAAACTGTGAGTAGTTTCGAATGAGCAATTGTCAAAAATAAAGAAACAACAGGAACTTAATAATTATGCAATATTTTAAACAAAATGAAAGTTGGAGGTTTTTCCAGTGAACTATATAGTAGTATTTCATGTAGAGCATGGAGAACAAGGCCAAAGGAAAGTGTTGCTTGAGGATCACGTACACAATTGTACGTGCAACAATGTACATCGGGTTGATTAAGCGATAAGTTTTTTCTTGAAAAATAACATTTGTAACACTAACCGCAGTTTTTTTGTAAAGAACGCCCTGGCTTGATGTATACATTATATTAATATAATATTTATAAATTTCAGTCCAACTTACGAAAAAAATAAAATTGTAGACATGGAAGAAGTTTTTGGACAAATTTGTGGAACAACAGCCTTCGTCGTGCCTCCTGTTTTTGACGTGGTGGTTTTTCATCTTGCGATCCTTTTATCCACCCATCTGAAACAAAAAGAAAAATTAATTTTAACTTATCGTCAGCGATGCTTTCAGTCATCAACCGGGCCATATATCATCTGCTAATCCCCATAAGCCATTGTTCTCGGACAAAAAGCGCCTTTCCAAATTATTCCAGGGCGATCTCTCGTAATGAACCGGAGCGAATTCATTCATTATGAAGATGAACAAAGGAGAAGAGAGCTGGGGGCAAAATGAATAGCCCAAAGGAAACAATGCATCCTTACTCGACCTTAAGAATATAACACATACCCAAAACAACTTCAAAGAAGAAAAATCCAAAATAAAGAGAAGATTTCCTTTGAAGTCTCGGCCCTTCACGGAGCAATTAGGGAATTTCCAAACCCAGGTACAATGTTTATTCAGGTATGGGCGTAAGTTGTAAATTAACTGTACGCCGATGTGCAAAGGGGGAGGAGGTTGACAACAAATGGCTTACCTACACGATAGCAGACAGCTCGACGTTGCCAATTCCCTTTAATGCCATAATGTTACAATTAAGCTATTTGGGTTGCAGCTGTTCAAGCTATACCGTAAAATGCAAGATATTCAATAATAAAACGCAAATCAAATATCGTAAAAATTAAGGGATACCAAGGCGGGCGTCGGTGACCACAACGGTTTAGGCGTTGGCAGGGTGTTCATCACTGTAAGCTAAAGGTCCGGGGTTCGCATCCAACGGTTTCAGTTTGTCATTCTCCCTCTGTCTTTCTCTCTTTTTCGAACCCCCCCCCCTACATACTCACGAATGGGCTTTTTTTCAAAAACACCGCCACCCCGAGTGTTCAAATAACTTCGTAGTTGAAATACCCTCGTATAAAAACAAAAAAAAAAGAACATCAAACCAAAAATATGAAATATTTCTGTCCTATTGTCTATATTTTTGATTCTTTTGGTGAAAAATAAGCTAAAAATGCGTGTGTATGTCACCAACCCTCGACGAGTTTTCTTAATGAGGAATTATGTAAAATATTATATGCCTTAAATCAAAATATCACATTAATAATTTTTAATCTTAGATAATAAAAAATAGAGATACTTTTATGTAAACCAATGTATTATTACACCTTTGAGTATTAAAAAACATCAATTACATTCACTCATATGTACAGATGTGTATTCATTGTACATATATCCTATGTACATATTGTTGTGTATCTTGGTTTTGGCCACAAAATTTCGTATTTTCCTCTCTCTTTCTCTCTCTTATACTCTAACTGCCTCATTGTTTATCTTTGACGTTCCCTCATTCTCTAGCTGTCTCCATGTTTCTTTTTGTCTTTCTCCCTCTGTCTTTCTATCTTTATCGAACACTCTCGTTCTCTAACTTATTCTTTTTTTCTTGGTTTCACTCGGATTCTCTAATATTCTCACTACTATCTCTCTCTCTCTCTCTCTCTCTCTCTCTCTCTCTCTCACCCTCTCTCTGTCGCTATATCATTCCTCTACCTGTCTTTTTGTATCTCTTTGACTTTTTATCCTTCTGCCCCTCATTCACTCTCTGTCTCTCTAATTATCATTCTCTCTCACGTTTGGTCGTATTATAGGTTTCTCTTTGGGTTTCACTTGCTCTTTATCCCTCTGTTTCAATTTGTCTGTCTGTCTGTTCGTCTGTTTATCTCTCTCTCTCTCTCTTCCTTTCTCTTTCTTTCTTCCTTCATTTTTCTTCCCCCATTCACTCTTTCTCATACACTAACCGTCTCATTGTTTATCTTTGGCTTTCCCCCTCATTCTCTAGCTGCCTCTATGTTTCTTGTTGCCTTTCTCCCTCTCTCTTTCTCTCTCACATACTCTAATTGTCTCATTGTTTATCTTCGACTTTCCCTCATATTCTAGCTGTCTCTATGTTCTTGTTGTCTTTCTCCCTCTCTCTTTCTCTCTCTCATACTCTAAATGTCTCATTGTTTATCTGCGACTCTCCCTCATTCTCTAGCTGTCTGTATGTTTTTTTTTGTCTTTCTCCCTGTCTCTTTCTCTCTTTCATACTCTAAATGTCTAATTGTTTATCTTTGACTTTTCCTCATTCTCTAGCTGTCTCAATGTTTCTTTTTGTCTTTTCCCTTTCTCTTTCTCTCTCATTTTCAAACACTCTACCTTCTTCCTACCTTACTTTCTCTCTACCTTTTCTTTTTCTCTTAGTTTCACTTGGATACTCTAATATTCTCACTATTCTCTCTCACTCCCTTTCTTTTTCACCCTCTCACACACACCCTCTCTCTGTCGCTATATCATTCCTCTACCCGTCTTTTTGTATCTCTTTGACTTTCATTCCTTCTGCCCCTCATTCACTCTCTGTCTCTCTAAGTATCATTCTCACTCACATTTTATCCTATTGTAGCTTTCTTTTAGGGTCTCATTTCTCTACATCCCTCTGTTTCAGTTTGTCTGTCTGTCGTCTATCTCTCTATCTCCCTCTCTCTCTCTCTCTCTCTCTCACCCTCTCTCTGTCTCTATATCATTCCTCCACCTGTCTTTTTGTATCTCTTTGACTTTCTATCCTTCTCACAGAATTCATTCTCTCTAACTATCATTCTCTTCTCAGCTTTCTTTTTGGGTCTCACTTCTCTATATCTCTCTGTTTCAGTTTGTCTGTCTAGTCTGTCCGTCCGTCCGTCTGTTTATCTCTCTCTCTCTCTCTCTCTCTCTCTCTCTCTCTTTCTTACTTCATTTTTCTCCCCCCTCCTCTCTCTCTCTCTCTCACTCTCTCGTTTTATGTCTGGTAATCGTACATTGATCTGCATCATGTTTATTTCTTAGAAAAAAATATATTGAAACATTAAATAGCGTTCAATTCCGGCTTAACTAGCAGCGACAGGTTGTTACCTCTTACTTTGTACGAAGCAATTAGCGCGTGGTTAATTCAAAACGTCACCACAAGCGGTTTGTGTTTTACAGCCGACGGAGTAGAGAGCAAAGCGGACGGAGGCAGCCGAGCGTGATCGACCGTTGGAGTGTAAATGGCTCGATGTATGATCCGAAACCAGTCTCGTCGTAAAATAAAACACGGGCCAGGAGAGAGAGGAAAAAAGGAAGAGATGTGGAAAAAAATAAAAGGGGCCTCATGAAAGGTATCGCACGGGCGTTGGCTCCTTGACGAGGCAGGAACGTGAAACGCAAACAGAAATCTGTCAAACATTTCTCACGGAATGTTGTGTACACAAAGAGAAATTGAGGTTGGTTAGACCGATGTCCGTTATTTAACAAAATTCTTTCTGACTTTAAAACTCTGAAAATTTTCCTTCTTTATGTAAATTGACAAGTCGGTTTTTGATTTTTGTTTCAATCCTCGTGGACACCCCAATCAACATAAACGAAGCACGTGCATTTTATATCCTTATTATAAACCTTTCGTGAACATAATATAATAATGCATAATTGCAAATGTTTTATTAGAAAACTAAATTGTTGCTTTAATTTAAACATTATATGCGTCAAAAAATGTTCCAACATTCTCTTATTTTTCAAGGCGTATTTGCTGAAACACCTCAACGACAATAGAAAAATTGTCGTTTTAAAATTTACATAACAAAAAGAACAGCCTAAACCGATGAATGGCTAGAAAAAAATGGACAAAATTCCCAGGAAAACAAACCATCGACGAACTGTTCCACAGTCCGATCTATCAGCAGATTTAATTCTTTTTAAAAGCCATTACATTTCATGGTCCGATTGACCAAATAACTTATTTCAATTAATTAATCTTTATGTAAGGTATCGGTTGAAATAAAAAAGTTAGTGTCACGAGCCCACGACCTTCGGCTCAATACGCTTTCTACCAATACCTTACATAAAGATTAATTAATTAAAAGGTATTATTTGGTCAATCGGACCATGAAATATAATGGATTTAACTAATTAAATAAAACGAAGTATATCTTCACTAAAGCTCTCCGTGGCCACTTCATAAGTCGCTGAGAATCAAGTCCTGATTACAGGAATATTGAAAAATAGAAAACAGGAGAGAAAATTCGAATGGTGAGGTTGAGATGGGATTTGGTGTCCGAGTGAATCGAAGTCACGATAGCACAAGTGGTAAAGCAGCGGCGTATTAAGCCGAAGATCGTGGGTTCGAATCCCGCTCGTGCCATTGGTTTTTTTTATTCTCAACTAAAAACCTTAATTAATTGTATGATATTAATTGGTCAAGCGGACCACGAAACTAGTGAATTTCAACAAATATCTTACATAAAGATTAATTAATAGAAAAAAACTACATTAAAAGGTTTTCCGTTTTATAAAAGAAAAAAAATGTTACACAACCTGCGTATATAATTTTTTGTGTTTTTATTAAGTTTTTCCAAAGTTTTTTTTCTCTCTAAACACCTTGCATTTACACATATTTCATAATGAAAACAAGAAAAAAAGTTGTAAAAGTTTAATAAAGATAACCAAACATCACGAAAGAGACGACCAACGAAGAGGTAACTAAGACATGAGGCTTGTAAATTTATTTTTTAATCTAAATAATTATAAATTAGATATTTTATTTAGACGATTAAAACTTATTTTGAGATTAATAATTGACGTAAAATTTACTTTCGGCACACTAATTTTCAATAGTAAAACCTACGAAAATATCAAATTTTTAGAAAAGCAAACGTAAAATGAAATTTGTGATGAAAACTGTGTGAGGTAACTATCCTCACAACTGAACACTTTTCTACTAAATATTTCTGTTATATCTTATTTTTTAAATTAAAACTTCACATAAATCTTACTTTATAGAATAGAAAACATGTGCAATTCATTTTTGCTAATGAAGTGAAGTAAATTAATTCCACGTTCACGTTAACTCTCGAGGAGTGAGAGCCACGTCACAATACTTGCTCAATATTATTAACAGTTATTCAGATATCGTGAGATGCGGTCGGGTGTGATGTAAATTTCAGAAAAACATTTTCTCTTTTGAGAGTGCGGCACTCTCAACACGACACGCAAGGATGGCACAGTTACACAGAAGACAAACACTTTGAGCCCTGAAGATGATCTCA